TTGGTGGCATGCCAGTGATGGGGAGAAGGCAGAGCTACGGGCATTGGGCCAAAGGGTCCTCAAAAATTGGGAGCCTGCCCTTCTCCTGGACAAAGAGTTCCACTGTCTAGGTGGGTGGGTACCTAAGAACTAACATTCTTCGGACTTGAATGTAAATGTTTCTAAATGTTCAGCATACAGGGCATCCTCTTGCATTTGGTCCTAACAAAGGGTCTGAGAATAGTATTGTTGCAACATTCTTGCAAGATGGTGGGGTGGGGAGCCACTCCTGTGACTGAGTGTCTTGGGCTCTAATCCCCACCTGGCCAAGAAATTCACTGGATAACGTAATGCCAGTCAATGACTCACAGTCTAACCTACCTCACAGTGTTGTGAGGATTAAATTGGGAGGAGGAGGTAAGCTGGCTTGGGTTCCTTGCCAAAGGAAAAAAGACAGAATATAAATATAATAAATAAATAAATACCCCCTTTTCAAAGAACACAGCCTCCACTAGTTCTTCTTGCACTTCACCTCCTCAAATTACCTTAAATCAATTGATGTTTGGAGATGCACTCAAACTCACCAGTGAGGAGCATACTTACACATGGTAGAGCTGAGGAGCGTCTTTCAGTTCATGGGAACCTTCCACACTCTCTGGGATATCCCTTTATGGCCATATGTGGTGATATGGAGAAAATTACTTCATGCCCTGCTGGATGTAGATGGATCATGAGAGTGTAAATGGAGACATTTACAGCTGCGGCATGGTGGCCACTGTGTGAAAACCAGCCTACTATGCTTTAGGGACAAGGAGTGAAGAGTTGTAAAAATACAACATTAAGTATGCCAGGAAGTCAGTGCACAGATTTAATGGGAGGCCTGACATAACGATACTGATGATGAGAGATATTTTTAATATTATTTATTACAGAATGTGTTTATGCACCCTGTCAAATACATTCCCAGGTAGAATACAAGAACAGAAAGAAAATACAAGAAAAACACAAATATTGGTGACTTTACTCATGTCACTTGATATTCTACTAGAAAAAATGGCTTTCTCGTGTCAGCTTTTTTTTAACGCATCGCCCAAAATTGTCGGGAGGAGTCAGCTTCTTTTGCTTCATTAAACAACCGGCAAAAATGTATTAAATGATTCTGCATTTTTAGCTTAATGCAATAATAATGTCATCATGATCTATTTATTTGTAGGCCACTTTTCTCTGGCAAAATCATGCTCAAGGCAGTGTATGTGAATGGGCAAAGCCATTTCTTATGAAATTCTTAACTACCTTTCATTTTAAACAATCAGCATCACTGAGCAGAAGTTCTTTCTTTCTTTGATGAAAAATGCTAGCAGCCCTACCTAGGATGCTGTGCAGAGCTGTGCAGAGCATGTACTGAGAGACCATGACATTGTTTGGAGGCCCCCAGAGTAATTTCACTTGGACCAGAAATCAGAACATGAGTCCCCTTCCTTTACAAACTCATTATCCATAGCTTTTTGGGAGCCTTCTCACTAAGTCTGTGCACTGACTTCCTGTCATGCTTACTGTTAGCTTCGGCAGGCTAAGCCACATTTTTACGATTCTCCATGGGACCCTGAAGCATTGTAGGTTGCTTTTCACACAGTGGTCTCCATGCTGTCGCCAGTTACACTCTCATAATCCACCTACATCGCTTGCACCCTCTGTCCTTTACATCAGAGGTCCAGACTCTCACCCCCATTGGGCCAAATGGGGTTCTGTAGATGGCCATGCCCCCTCCTTTTCCTCTACCACCAGTTGTCTGATGCTTTCTCAGGTTTTGTGCAGTTTTTCTCCCACTCTAAAAGGCTGAAATGTTTCTCTGAAGGCTTAAATGCTGGCGGTGAGCAAAAATATGGTGTTTCAGGCAATGCAGTCATTTGCAGGGGAGGCTGGTGACTCCTGTGTCAGCGGGGCCCCTCATCCACGGCAGCAATTAGCCTGCAGTTTATAGGAGCTATCCATGGTGCTGAACTTCATCCTAATGCAGCATCATGGTTCTCGTATTCTTATCGATCTCCTACAAAACTCAGACTAAAGGCTACAACAGAGGATGATCCCCACAGACACAGAGGCCCCCAGCTTTCCATGCCACCCACCACTGAGATGTGCTCCCCAGGCTTCTCCAAAGTGGAAGGTGTCCCTGAGTCTGAAAGAGCTTCTGCTTTATGGCATGGCTGAGACGGTGGCTCCTAAACACATGCAGGAGGTCTAAAGTCAGATGCTGGCATGCAAAATAGCTGCCCCTACCCTACAGGCTTGTTTAGTTGAGGGTTAATCCAGTTCCAAGTAGTTTAGTTAGGGGCATGTCAATGTGACAGCAATGTGATTCTTTATTGTGTCTGCAACTCTCTCTCTCTCTCTCTCTCTCTTTAAAATATAAGTGGGTGTAATGTGAACAAGGCTATTAGGAAGGTGAGCATGTGAATCCAGTGTTGCTCAGGTAACTGTACCAATGGGGATATAAGAGGCTGTTGGAATTTTCATTTTCAGTTCCTTGCGAAAGGACTTCAGGTGTGAATTTGCATAAAAAACATGTGCCATTTTGATTATGAGCATGAATAGGTGTGCTACATGGGGGCAGACCAAGCCCGCACCATTCTTACATTAACTGGAAATAATTTCTGATGGTGACAATGACTGACATATTCAACTCTTTGATAGCTCAGTGAATTATTAGGGCTCCAGCTTAACAGAAAGCATTTTCTTATGAGTGGGAATTCTCTCCATAAATCCTAGAATTGTGGGAGTTGGCTGGGATCACTTAGTAGACAGAGGGAGATGTTATTGCTCATTCATATCTTCTTCATCTTAGCCTTCGTAGTCATTACTTCAGGCACAAGTACTTAAGAAGCGCTTTGTGGGATCAGACCAAGGGTGCCTTTCCCTTGGCATTCTGTCCACAGTGGCTAGCTAGCTGCTCCTGGCAGCCACAGACAGGGCATAAGCACCACTGCCTTTGATACTGGAGGTGGAATATGGCTGGCAGGACCAGTGGCCATTGGCAGCCTTATCCTGTACGAACTTGTTAAATGTCTCGCTATCCTTTTTCTCCATACCATGCATGATTTTGTACACCTCTATCACGGCTCCTTTTCAGTTGCCTTTTTTTCTAAATTAAGATATTGTAACCTTTCCTTGTAGGGAAGTTGCTCCAGTCCCTTGATCATTTTAGTTGCCCTTCTTTGAACTTTTTCCAACTCTGCAGCATGCTTTTCCAGGTGTAGCAACCAGATCCAGACCACAATATTTCAAATGTGGTCACATCATCGATCTATCTAAGGTGAGTATGATCCCACTAGCTTTATTTTTTCATTTCTTTCCTAATTACACCCACCATGGAGTTTGGCTTTTCCACAGCAGCCTCATGCTGAACTGGCATCTTCAGTGAACTGTCTGCCACAATGGCAGGATCTCTTTCTAAGTCGGTCAGTCAGTGCCAGCTCTGATCTCATCAGCCTCTGCTTGAAGTTGGGCTGTTTTGCGCCAGTGTGTCTCACCTGCACACCCTGGACCACATTTGCCGTTTTGATGCCCTTTCTCCTAGTTTGGCAAGATCCCTTTGAAGTCCCTCACCCTGCCCTTTTAGTGTTACCCACCCTAAGAAATTGGGTGCCATCAGCAAGGCTGGTCACTTCACCACTCACTCCTAATTCCAGCTCCCTTCATTCATAAAGGCTGGAAAAGCCTCGGTCCAGGTTCCTGCACCTTGCTGGGAACCCACTCATGGGAGGCCCCCTCCTCTAATTCCATGACCGCGAAGTTTGCTCAGGAGTCTCAGGTGAGAAATGCCTCAAGGGCTCGACCCTGGCATTGGCCTGGGCCGTGGTGCCACAGAGCACAGGAACAGAGGGGTGAAGGGCTTTGCCCAGCCTGCAAGTCACTCACACAGACAAGTGGCCGCTAACGTCTGAAGGCCCCTGGTCTCCTGACTCCAATAAAGTTGCAGCTACCAGGGCGGATGGATGGTGTCATGTTTGTTGAGACGAGGGCCCCGGGTGGGATGGAGGAATTCAGACCTATGAACATTCTGTGCGGTTATGAATAATTTGGAGAGGATGGGTGAGGGGAGCAGCTTCCATGAATTCTCCAGCTTTGCATGGAAGAAGGCAGTGAAGCAAAAGGGAGGGGGATGAATTGGCACAGAAACCTAATCCCTTCTCCCCCGTCTCCATGGCCCCTCTATTTATTCAACTACCGGGCATGACTCCGAATAAACACGATAGATTCGATCTGTTTGCTATTCCCTCCTTCTCCGCCACACACCCCCAGCCCCGTGCCCAAACCTCGTGGCATCTTTTGTCCGCGTAGGAGCGACACAAAGAACTTTTCCGCGCTCGGGGTATATGTGTCTGCGTGTTGTGGGTCTCCGTTTGGTCTAAAATCCATTTTATTCCTCCAGCCAGCCCAATTTTAGAGAACGGGCAACTTCCAAACATGGTCTTTCCATGCCTGTTTGAACAAATGTTTAATCGCCAGCAGCTCGGCATGAGCCGCGGCTTCAGAAGTGCTTCCCCCCGGCCCTTCCTCCCCACCCAGCAAGCAAGCCCGGACCAGTTAGTGAGCAGCTTCCCACCGCCCCTCCCTGTCTTGCAGCCCCTCTCCCTTCCTCTCCTTAGCGATCCTCCGAAGGTGCACTGGCAACGATCAACAGATGGGAGAGAGGCAAGGAGGCGGGCCGGGCTGGGGAGAGGGGGAAGCGGCGGCGGCGGCGAGGAGGAGGAGGAGGAGGAGGGCTTCAGTGCGCGCCGCACCATCCCCGCGCCCCGGGGAACCTTTCCCAACTGGGCGCCGCAGCGCGACGGCAGCAGCCCGCGCGGAGAACTTTGCCGGAGTCCAGCGCGCAGGGGGGCGGGGGCGCGGGGGAAAGAGCGCCCCGCTTTGGCGGGGGGAGGCACTGCCTGGGAGCCTCCGACTTCGCCTGGCCCCTGCTGGGCGGGCGGGCGCGCTTCCTGCCCGTGCCCCCTCCGCGCTGCTCTTTCAAACTTTGCAGCATGGGCGCTCCCCGGTGGAAGCGAATCTGCCTTTTGTTGCTGGTCGGGCTAGCGTTCTCTGTCGTTTTCTTTGGCCACTACTACTCGACGAGCTCCCCCGGCAGCCCCAGGGCTGCATCCAGGTAAGGGCTCGGGCCGAGGGTCGGCGGGAGGCTGTCCCGAATCAAGGAGGCGAGGAACAGCGCTCCCCCCGCGCTTCGCCAGGGAGTGGGGGCTGTTCCGCCTGCGGGGGTTTGCGGGACGGCGGCGAGGCAGGGGGAGAAGGGGCAGCCCCTCAACACGCAAACGAGGGTGCCACCTCGGGGCACCCGGGAGCCCTGCGAAGCACTGGCTGAGAGCGGCGCATCCTCGCTGCCCTTGCCTAACATTCTTTTCTTTGTGTGCCATTTCTTTGGATCGCTTGGTTCACAGCCCCAAACAGTGTGACCCAAATGTACAAAACAGGCATAGGTTCAAGAAGTGTGTGGGGGTGAGGGAGGGATGCTAACTGAAGTCTTGCTTTCCTAGGTGTAGCTGCACATTTTGCCTTGTGGCAGAACCTGCGCCCTCCGAGGCACAGAGGCACCAACGTGTGCTTTAAACACCAAAGCACAGCAGCCACAGCGCTACCTCGTGCAGAGAGTGCGGGGGTAGGCAAGTTAGAGGGAAGAGGGCTATTGTCCTCTGAGCTTCTCGGAGCCTCTGAGTGAGAGCCAGCAGCAGAGGAACGAAAGCACCAGAGTGTCGGGCTTGCGGCTTCCAGATGCTTGCATCTTCAAGGATTCCGGGCAGCGGTGACTTATCCTCAAATAGTGGGTCAGGACTTCCAGCCAGAAGATTGGAGGGTTCTTAGAAGGGCAGCACCAGATGGCTTTGGTTTTGGAGATCAGGTGCATTGCTCAAGAATTCCAGCCTTGGTGCCATAACTGTGCAGGGTGCAATAGTCCATGTTCACGCCCTGCTCATTCTCATCTCTGAGGAAGCAGCAACGTAACCTTTGGAGCCACAGTTGCTATGTCCTCTGCTGAATGGAAAGACGTTCCAGGGAAAAGATTTCGCTGAAGCACTGCCCGTTTGGCCACTTGTGTGTTCAAGCTCCCATCTCTAGGCATATGATGCACATTAAGAGCAGTGGTGAAAGTAAACCATGACCGGTACTACTGGGGGTGACATAGCTGTGGACCCCTGGCAAAACAGTTGATCCACATCGCTCAGCAATATAAAGCCCCTGCACAGCATCATGTGGGTTTCTAGAGAAAGATATGATCCATTTTCATCACTGCCTAAGAGATTAGCGAGCCACTACAGAGGGAGGATTATCTGGGAATACACTGGGGCCAAAACCTCAAATCTCCAGTTGACAAAACAGTTTGGCAAACTTTACAAGAAAACTACTTTTGGGGGGTTACACCCTGCATTTCATCTAATCAGAAAATTCTCTTTCAGCCTACTCACACATGCACACACAAACTGGTGTTTGGAAGATAAAAGCTGGCATTCCACAGAAACACTTACACTCATAAATCAGAGCGTGAGCCCTTCGCTTCTTACTTTTCATGCTAATTTTGAGGTCAGTAGTTCTGAATGCAGCCATCAGCTTCTGAAGTACTTGATCTCATATTTCAGCTGTAGTCCCAAACAAAGAATCTATTCCATTTCTGTATATCTTGGTAATAACTGCATTAGTAATCTAGGAACTACTGAAGTATTTAGAAATCTTATATATAGACCCAAGACTAAAAAGCATTCAGAAATCTTGGTTCAGGTAAGGACTACTTTAGGAATAATACTCACCATGCAGACTCACCATGTCCTAATTGTGGACGCCTGGTTGAAACTGGTCCCTGGAATTCCTAAAGTGGCATTTTATGTATTTATGTATGTATTTGTGATTATTTATATAGTGCTAAATAACCTTGGACTAAAGTAAGATTGTTCTTCACACATGGAGTCATGTCCTCACACCTGCACCACTGGTTCTGTGTGGCCCCTTTCACCACCCAGAATAAACTTAACATGCAAAGTGAGACAGTACACATTTAATTCTGTTTTCAGTATCACTCAACAGCAGTTGAAGACACTGCTTCCTTCCTGTACATTATCCCAGCAGTCTTCAAAATGCAATACAGTTGGCCAATATTGGTTCCATATTACAAATCCAAAGGTTAGGAGACAATAGCTTCCCTAAATCCACCCAGCAGGTTCATAGCTGAGCTTCAAATGAAACTCTTGACATTTGACCACAAAGTGTGTGCTCTGTTACTAAATATGTGATGTAGGCAGCAATCTTAAAGTCAGTTTGCTTAGGTCAGCCTCAATTACCCAACATATAAATTGAGAATAAACAAGTTATGGAGATTAAGAGCTGTTAACTACTTTGCACAGGAATAGTACTTGATAATGGTTGCAGTACTTGTGGTTGAAAATGGGAGAGCACAATCTTATCATCTTGAAAACCTTTTTAAAAAGGTTAGCCAATACATCTTAGATAATCTATGTTTCCTAGCTTTTCCATATGTTGATCTGCCATGCAAACAGATCCCAGCTTGTCATGCTTGTCAGATGCAAGGTGGGATGGGTGGGTTGCCTTCTGGAAAAGAAGTGTTCTTCCAGTACTGAGTGTAGCTTTTGCAGCCCAGAAACCAACATGCTTGATGGGGCAGTGTGCTCCATCACACCTGAGGAAGGCAAGTTCGTTTAGGAGGTGCGGCATGTGCAGCGTAGCGCCCACAGCGGTATCCTCCCACCCCTCGCTGTGGCCCACTCCTCAGCGTCTGCCGCCTGAAGCAGCTGTTTCATCCTGCTTAATGATAGCACCCACCCCGGATAAGTGAACCGGAGAAGGCTGGCTACTGCAACAGCACTCAAGCAATTGCGCAAGGATTACATCATCTGTAATACCTTTTGCTATCTTGACATATGTCCTATTGCTAAAGATCAGCTGCCTTTCATTTGGTTCCATGCTCACCATGATACATCTGCCACTGTAGATCTCACAGTAAGTGATCATCTATAGGTGTCCTATGGCTGTAATCCTATGCATACCTACCATGACTTAGAACACAAAGTTACTTCGTGTTAAGCATAAATTCCAACAGCTTATGCAATAGTTTTTACTTTCGCGATGGACAGCAAATCGATAGCTACTAGCAGAATTGGCATACTCCTGATCGGAATAACAGAAAGACTCTCCAAAGTCTGGACATTATTTGGACATTTTCTAAGATTTGATACCAGGTTCATGCTAGAGTGACCTTTTCAGATGTCAAAGTTAATGTTTTGCTGTTTGCTCATGATCTGTAATTAGAAGCTTGAGGCTTGTGACAACGTGTCGACACAATTTTCTCCCCTTTCTTAGCAGACATGATGCAGAAATCCGAGAGAAAATGGCTCATAGTAGTTGAAAGAATAAGGTCACTGATAGTGTTTCGATACACATTGACACAACCAAGGTTAGCCTAGTCCTGAAGACAAAAGGTTTGAGTTTAGGTGCACTTTACTGATGGGGGCTATTTTACAGTCATGGTGGTTAAAAAAAGTGTGGGGGGGGACATCCAAACAAACACATCCAATCTTTCCATCATTCTTGTACATTCTGATGCTAGCTTAGAAGATTCTTTTCTTGCTTTGTGTCCATCGGAGAACCATGCCATCTGCATGACTCTCCTACATTGATGGTTTGTAGAGGGCACAATCCAAGCAGGATGCCTTCACGCTCAGAGGATCTGGAGCATTTTAGGCAGGGCAGAAGGCGCATGGAGGTGAAGGTCACCCCCACACTCCTCCTGCCCTGTGAAACACTGAGCTGATTTTGGCCCCCTGGTGCTGTGCCCCAGAGCTCAAGGGAAGGATACTTCGTATCACGGTAGCTCTTGTCCCCTCCGGCCCCGTCACCCACAAAACCCTTTCTCTGATGCTGTGTTTGTGACCTCAGGGAAGCAGCCAGGGTGGCTCTCTTGGTGCCAGTGCAGGGAGAAGTGGCCACTCCAAGCCTGGAGACCCAGTTCCAGCCTCAGAGCCAGCTTCGGAGGTTTGTGCTGGGACTCTGATGTATCCGATGGCTGTCCCAGTGCTGATCAGTGGTCGTAGGATTGCACTCCCCGTGAGATCAAATGAATGCCATAACTTTGCATTGTCCTGGAGTGTAGCTACTTCTGGAGACCTTAAGAGGTTGGGCTAAGTGAACTGGTGGATTCTTCCTGGTGCAAGATCATGTCCCTACGCTTTTCTACAGGTCTCTTCCATGAATATGCAAGCATCTGATTCTACTTTCTTTCCCACATGATACATTAAAATACCGATATGAGAAAAGAAATTGTTTTTTTTTTAAAGAGAGTGACTTCAACATCTGTTACAAAGCTTGCTGGAAGAATATGGTTTTCATAACCTGTCTATATCAAGACAGCAAGGGGGTTAATCTCACTTTACCGGGGAGCAAGGTCTACAGTTGGAGTGCTGCTACAGCAAAAGCTAAATATATCAAACAACTTACCTTCAGCCTAATGATTGCAAAGGGAGCTTTAGATGCATGGGAGCATTCAGACATGATCCTCCACCCTGCATTCTGAAGCCGTAAAGTCCCAGGAGGACTCTTTGGAAAATGCATAGAACAGCTCTTGAAAACAGATCCAGATTGTCTTACCAGAAATATCCATGCTTCTCCCTTCCCCAGAGTTTTGCATTATTATAGGTCAAGTAAAACTACTGTAGGCTGCAGGCCATACTGTGACTGCTTCCTAGCATGCCCTCCAGTGTTATTGGAGGGAGATCCTTGTAAATGTATTTCCTAGATCTTCAGCATAATAACTGAAACAAATGTGTATCTCCTATTTCAGCATACTGAGTTCCACTGAACCCAGGAACTTGAAAGGTCCACCAGTTCCTATTCTTCTGCTCTTTTTCTATTATGGGCCAGTATCTCTAAACTTTCTATTGGGGCGATACAGTAATATGGACCTATTTGTCTTAGGTTCCGCTGGAGAAGAGTGTTCTAACTTTTCAGCACCTTGCCATTCACATACCTTAGAGCAGGTTGGGCGGAAGGTAGATCAGAATCTACTGGGAGATCTTTAGGTGATTATCAGTAGATTGCCAAGGGTTTCTGGCTCCCAACTGGCTAACAATAGCAACAGCTACAAAGCCT